ACAGATTTATGTCAACTCTTAAAAATTTTATTTACGTGTTTTGCCTGCATGTATAGCATTGCATGCAGTACATGCAGAATCCAGGAAATGGCATCAGATCCTCTGGAATTGTGAGCTGCCATATGGGTGCTGGGAATTGAAACTGGGTCCTATGGAAGAACAACCAGTGCTCTTAACCACTGAACCATCTCTCCAGCCCCTTATGACAACTTTACAATCACAAAGAGCCTGAAGAAAACCTTAAATGTCCTTCAGCTGGAGAATGGATAGACAAGTGGTGGTACTTTCATACAAGAGAACACCGTGTTCAGCAATTAACCGGAAGGAACTGTGGACATGCTTAGCATGGCTGAATCTCAGATATATCTTGCTAAATGAAAGGAAAGCAGAGGTGACGCTTGCTTCAGCACAAAGATACCAATACCGGCAAGATAAAATTAGCCTGGCAATTAACAAGGATGGTATGCAAATACATGGAGTATTCCACACCTTCACACAGACTTGTAAGAAATGGCCAGTATAGGAAGAAAAAGACCACTGGGCAGTGGTGACGCACACCTTTGAGCCAAGCACTTGGGAAGCAGAGGCAAGTAGATCTCTTGATCTCCAAGAGTTGGAGGCCAGCGTGGTCTACAAAGAGAGTTCCAGGACAGCCAGGGGTACCCAGAGAAAAGAAACCTTGTCTCAAAAAACCAAAAAGAGAGAAGAAGAAGACAACGCTAATGACAAAACAGCTAAAGGAAGCAGGAACAGAACGAAGAAAGTGAGTGGGCTGAAAACCAAGGCTGGTGCTGACAAAGGGACATCTGAAGGAGAACCTCCGGTTCTAACAACACTCAAAATCTCCAACGATTCCCCCACAAAAGAACAAAGACTCCACGTCTTTGTGCTACACATGGATGCAGTAGGTACATGGATCTTTCACAAGACAACTGAATAAAATGGAAAAACTTCAAATAAATGACAAAAAACCCTCACTACTGCTATGATTACAATGAAATGATATCTTAAAAAGAAATTATAGGAGTAGGGTGCTTTAATCCCATTACTCGGGAGGCTGAGACAGAGTGGTTCTCTGTGAGTTCGAGGCCAGCCTGGTCTACAAGAGCTAGTTCCAAGACAGGCTCCAAAGCTACAGAGAAACCCTGTCTCAAAAAAAAGAAATTCTAGGGAGGGAAATCATTAGTAGATTAGTTGCCAGGAGTAAAAGGTTTGGAAGAAGGCTGACTTTAAAAAACGGACAGCACACAAAACTTTTCTGTTTGTTGATTATGACAACACATAAAATTGTAATCTTTATTTATTTAGCTTTGTTTGTTTGATTGGTTTTTTCGAGATAGGGTTTCACTATAGCTTTGGAGCCTGTCCTGGAACTCGCTTTATAAACCAGGCTGGCCTCAAACTCACGGAGATCCACATGTCTCTGCCTCCTGAGTGCTGGGATTAAAGGTGAGCACTATCACCTCCCAGCCTTAATCTTTTTAAAAGAAGGAAAACAAATAGATAATTTCTCATCTAAATGGGCAAAAAATGTAAAATATGACGATGGTATAGTGGGTAAGGATGAGAAATCACTTCAACTCATATACTAAATGTAGGAACAAAAGTCATTTGCTCTTGTAACCAGTCAAGTGGAAAATCCATCTGTTATCAACAGTTACCTTTACTGGTGGTATACATTTTGAGAAACCACACTGTTTTTCAGAGACATACAGAAGGATATTCGTTAAGCATTGTTTGAAATATTAAAAAAAAACTTCAGAATAAGGATGTGGTTATAAAAAAGAAAAGAAAAAAAAGGCATTCTCCCAGGCAGTGGAGGAATGACAGCCCTGCTAGCTATTTATATGATATGGAGAAAGTAACTGACTGATTTATTTAGCAATTAGATAGAGTGAGGAGCTGGGTGTGGTGGCACACCCTGTAATGCCAGCACTTGGGGAGTCTAAGGCAAGAGAGTCAGTTTGAGGCCAGTCTGGGTTATACTAGCAGCTCTACACCAGCTAGGGCTACATACAAAGCAAGATCCTGGGGAGGAGAAGGGGGCAGGAATGTAGAGGACTGCCTAAGGTGGGATACCAAGACAAGCGCATAGCATTCGGTTCCAACTCACCACCACTCCTCAACACTTGTCTATGAACCTCACTTTCCCATCCCTGGAAGGTGGAAAGGTTGGACTATACACACAAGATTACTTCCAACCTAATGATCTTGTAATTCAGTAAGTATATAACATCACAAATTCAGTACAGGCAAAATACTACCAGCTTGAATTTTTTGTCTTGATTGTTGTGACAGTAAAATAACTTGTTAAGCTTACGGTGCTTACTTGGGTCAAATCTGAGTGCAGACATTCATGTGAAGGTATTCTGTAGTCGTGATTAACATATGTGATCAACTGACTTTACATAGATTATCTTCAAATATGTGAGCTTATTCTTTTTCATTTGTTTTTATTTTATGTGCATTAGTGTTTTGCCATGGGTTTCAGGTCCCCTAGAACTGGAGTTACAGACAGCTGTGAGCTGCCCTGTGCGTGCTGAGAATTGATCCTAGGTCCTCTGAACCTAGGTCCTCCAGAAGAGCAGTCAGTGTCCTTAACCACCTCTCCAGACCCTATGTGAGTTTATTAACACACGCTGTGCACATGTTACAGGAGAAACCTCGACAGAAGAGAACTCTAGCTTCCAAAGTATCTTAAACAAAGAACAGCAGGATTTTAGAGATTCCGAAACAAAACAGAGAGCAGGCTTGGCTTTTGGTTTTCACTGGTAGGGAATTATGGAGAATTAATCTGAGGGTGGGAGTAGGAGTGTCGTGTGTGTGTGTGTGTGTGTGTATGTGTGTGTGTGTGTGCTGAATGACTTAATTATTTTTATTATAGTGCAATAGTGTTTTGCCTGCATGTATGTCCGTGTGAAGGCGTCAGATCCTCTAGAACTGGAGTTACAGTTGTGAGCTGCCATATGGGTTCTTCCCAGGAGCAGTGAGTGCTCTTAGCTGCTGGGCCACCTCTCCAATTTCTGAGATTTTTAATCAGACTACAGTACAGGGGGTTGGAGGGCTCAGCAGTTAGGAGTGCTCTTGCAGAGGACCCAAGCTGCTTTCCCAGCACCAACAATCAGTGGCTCATGAGAGCCTTTAACTCCAGCTCTAGGAGGATCCAATACCTTTGGCTTCCATTGTCACTCACGTATAAATACCACCCCAAACACATAATTTGAAATAATTTTTTTTTTTTAAAAAACCACAATTCAGAAGATGATATGGATAGCTAAGCTACTATACCGATTTGGATCACCCTGAGGTGGAGTTTATTAACTCTCTCATCTACTTTAGCATTCTAAAGCACTGTGAGTATAACTTTACTTGCCAAATTCAAGGTGATGACCTTTAGTTATTCATGAAAAAAAATCTACTCAATTTTAAAAAAATGTCAATCTCTTCATATTTTGTCTGTTTTACCTATAAAGCTCTTAAAGTTTTAACGTTAGCTTGATACAACCGTTTAGCATGACCCTTCAAACAAGAAATCGTGTCCACAGGACCCCCATAAAACAGTTCATATTCAACCCTGTCTCGAAAAACCAAAAAAAAAAAAAGTTCATATTCAAGAGTATTTACTAATTTTCATTACCACAAATACTTATACTTCAAAGATACCAACACATCACATAATTTGTTCCTGTTGCAAAATTTAACAGGTTATTAATTTCTGACATAATTTAAAAGGATAATTAGAATACTATCATTAAAGCATGATAGTGCCCTATTAAAACTAGAAATACCTTTCACCTTGTCCGCTAAATCAAAACTTTAGAATTCTTGGCACACTGGCTTTCCGAATCTAAATTCTTAAAACTCTAACACACTCCTAAAAACCCTCCTAGCTACTGCATTCATTTTAAAGGGTCTTGGAAAACTTTTCGACCGAAACCTAAATTCCACACACATTACTGTGTGTCAATCAGCTGGACAGAGGTGAGCTATCCTTAGTAAGTTACATAATTTGCAGTAAAGATCTGTCCAGGCGGCTTTCATTGAAAGTGACTTGCGACCATTTTACAGGCTCCAAAGTTCAACTGAACAACCTCCCTGGAAGCTTAAGAAAGCACTATGGACACCGGGCTTTCTTCAGCAGCGGACACAAGGAAGCAGGAACTGTTTATCTGAAGAACGCAATGAGTAGCAGAACACCAGGAGCTGACTCAGGCACAGGAACGCTGGCTGCATTCCGTCTTCCCCGGGAAAGTGGTTCCCCGGCTGGTTCCGCCACCCGCCCGGGAAAGGGGGGGGTTAGTCCCCGGGACTGGGGACTCCGGGCCTGGCCGCGGCGAGGCGACTCCCTGCCGCGCCCCCCGTAACTTCGTCCGAGTGGCCCGCCACCGCGCCGAGCTGCGACCCCGGCCCAAGGGGGACCGACACCGCGCGGACAGCGATCCTCCGGGGGACAAAAGCTGGGGCTGGCACCACCGAGTCTGGGCTCAGCTTGGGTCTCCATCGCGGTGCGGCGGGTTGGAGAGTGGGGTACAAGCCCCGCCGCCCCTCCCCCGCCGCGCTCCCGGGGACCTGTTGATCAAGACCGCCGCAGCCCCGCGGCCGCGGGTCCGCCCCTTACCTCCGCGCCCCGGTGGCGGCCGATCCGCTCGCCCTGGTCGCTCCTCGGCGCGGCCCGGGCGACAACCCTCGGGCCGGACGCCTCAAGACGCGGGATAAAGAATCCAGAAACTCCAGATCCGCCCCCCAAGACCTCGGAATCCCGGAGTCCCCGCCCCCTCCCCACCGCCAGCCTCCTCCGTCGCCGCCGTCGCCAGCAACTCCTCCTCGAGACCGCGCGAGACCGGCCCCCGCGGCTGACGCGAGACCGCGCACGCGCCCCCGGGACTCTGGCGCAGCGGGCGCGCCTATCCCAGGCCGTTCCCGGCGCAGCCCGCCCACGGCTCGGAGAGAGGCTGGACCGGATCGCCCAATCCGGAGCCGGCTCCGGGGAGACAGCTCGCTCATTGGTCCGCTCTGGGCTCCGGGCTCTCGGCCGCGCGCACTCCCGCGCCTCGAACTCCAAAGCGCTCGCCCGGACTGCGGAGTTCCCTCAGCCCACCTCCTCGCTGAGGAAAACCAGATTACCTCTCAAGAGATTCCTCTTGTCGTGTCAGGCACGACAGAAATGCTGACACTCCCTTAAAAAAATGACTCAAACACCTGGTTGTGTTTGAATCAGGTCCCACAGAATTGCCTGATCCTGCAGACGACTCCTTTCTGAAAACCGGGACTGATGCCCAGGGCCTCCGCTGTTGTCACAGAATTCTCCGGAGAGGATCTGGAGTTGCATAGGCCAGTCTGTACCCAGTGCGAGACCATGCTGTCAGGACGTGCCTATGCCACGGTCTGGAAAGGGTGGGCGCCAAAAGTGCTAGGAAAGCGAGTTCATGAGGAACTGGATTTGGAGCCGACAGACTATCTTCTGGGCAGAAACCTCTTCTGTTGAGCCAAAATCCATTGCTTCAGCCTGTTGAGTTTTCTTCAGGGGCACAAGGCATAGACAACTCTCCCTTAATGCCTTCTTGTATGCGAGTTGATTTCCTCCCACCGTGGCTTTTAAGCATCTTTCCCTATATCCCCAGGCCCCTCCCGTCTGTTCACAAACTTACCCTTTTCACCTTTTAGGCTTTCAGTGTCCTCAGGGAACAACACCATGTCCTCCTCTGAATTAAGCACACCGTCAGTTCAGGTGCTCAACATCTTTTTTGGAGCCCTTCCTGAATCGTCAACCTCAAATCTTATTTGCATTCTGTTCATTAGTGTTTAGTAAGACAGAACCAAGGACAGAACTCTGTTACCACGAAAGACCGCATTCGTTCTCTCGAACATTCCTCAGTGGACGCTGAGTACAGATGGACAACTTCCAAATTTATGTAACTGAACTCTCTTAGCTCATAGTCTTCAAAAAGAAGTGAGAATTTGTGAACTGCAAGTAAACCGTTGTCTCCAAATTCCTGGGAACGGATAGACGTACACAAAAGGTTAGTGTGTGTTGACATTTTTCCCTACATTTTTAAGTACATAAAACACAGAGTAACAAAGCCTCTAGTTCCCAAAACGTTGTTTTTTTTTTTTCTCTTGGAAATATTGACATTTCGGCTAGTTTACTCTTGGTGTGGAGCCACTCCGTGGTTTCTGTCCACTAGAGATGCCCAGGCACACCTCCCTTTCCACCCTTGATAGCGATGCTTACAGACATTGCCTGAGGGTTGGACCACTGGTATAGCTTTTCATGCAAAAGGTCACTCTACATAGTGTTCCTTTTTTTTTTAAAAGATGTATTTATAATTGTTTATTTGAGTGTTTGCCTGCATTTACGTCATGCACCACCTCCTTGTCTGGTGCTTGGTAAGGCCGGGAGAGATCTTTGGATTCCCTGACATTCAGGTTATAGACAGCTGGTGCTAGGAACTGAGCCCAGGTTCTCTACAAGAGTGCCCAATGCTCTTACCCACTTATCTTTCCAGCCCCCTAGAGTGTATCCTTTTTCATGCCTTCCAATAGCCTGGTGCAGGCAGTTTTCCGAAACATTTCCTCCTAAATGACCCCCCTGCTAGGTACCTTGTCCAGCTTCCCTGGATGTTTAGGGAACTGTTGCAGGCTCCACTCTGATAACATGATGACCACAATCAGTGTGAAATAATAGACTGCTGCTGCTCTCAGAATGTGGCAAGGAGCCGCTTGTTCATCCTGGCTGCCCGGCCGCCCACAACCTCTGCAAAGTACGAACAAACTGTATTCCTTTACCTCCTAAAGGTAGTTTCATTTTTTTTTAAAAAAAGGAGACTATGGAAAATAGGAAATCTATTCTTTGGTGAATAAAACTTTTTCCAGAACCCCCACATCACACTAATTACTGGTCTCGGGTGCATTAAAGGAGTAGCCGGAAGAGTGGAAAGTATAAAAGTTTCAGGCAAAGTGACTGGAGTTGTAGGATGTGATGTGGGACGAGACTTCCTGGGTTGAAATTTTCTCATTCGTAATGTAAGGTAGTTTTTGTTTCTGATTTCGTGCTGGTAGCTTCTGCAAGTGGTGTCTAATGGATGGCATGGGAGTTAAGGCAATATAGCATTCTTCCCAAAATGAAATAAAGTAGGCAGTCGATCCTGTTTGAAGAACTGTTCATCCTTCTCTGAAGAACTGTCCATCTGCTGGGTCACCCTAGCAGATCTGAAAGTGAACATTATGGATGAAGAGAGAAAGTCAAACTATAAAATCTAGTGTAAGAAGGGGAACAACCATAGCAAATACCCTTCCTCCTCCTTCGTCTTAATATATGCTTGTATCATCTGCCAGTGAAAGACCCTACAGACCCCCTCCTCAAAACCCGCAGCTAGCATGCTCCCGGGGGAACGTTCTGTTTGTTTTAAAAAAACTCTCCGGATCAGCAGCCAGCCTGCTCCCGTAAGAACATCCCATGTGCCTGAGAGAGCAGGAGATAGAGATAGGAAGACTGCAAGGCAAGATGTCAATAAGATAGGATGTCAACAAAGCAGGTTAGCTATAAGATAGGAACAGGATGATTGTTGCCAGGCATCCATGCTGAGAGAGGAAACCTTTCATGCCCCCCGCCGCATTCCGATAACCACGCTTTTGCTTCTGTAAACTTGCTTCTTGCTGACATACTGGTATGTTAGATTAGTAAAATGCCATGCTATTTTAAATTTGCGGGAACATCTTAACATTGTATTTTAGCCAATTTTGAAAGTCTAAAATCTTACACCTCAGATTTCAAGATTCTTCAGTTTTATCATTATCTTTGAAATCCTTAACTAACCATGGACATTATATGTTACTTTTGTACTAGAAAAAGAGGTTTAATAACTGAATTAGTTGCCTAAACACTTTTTTTTTCTTTTCCTGAAACAGACTCAATATATAGCCAAGGCTGGCCTTGAACCTGAAATCCTTAGCTTTCCTAGCGGTAGGAAGCAAAAAAACCATGTGCATCCATAGTCAGGATTTCTCTGTGTAACAGCTCTAACTGTCCTGGAACTAGCTCTTGTAGATCAGGCTGGCCTCGAACTCACAGAGATCTGTCTGCCTCTGCCTCCCGAGTGCTGGGATTAAAGGTGTGCACCACCACTGCCTGGCTTCTTTACTCATTTTTAATTGTATGAACTATATATAATATAATTTAAAATCAGAATGCTCACTGAGTAAGGCACAAATTCATTGTCGTAAAACAAAAAACAAAGAAGTTGTAAAAACAAATTTGTTTCTAAACTAAGAATATTAAACAGTTCCGCTGTCTATAATGAGCATCAGTTCATTCAGTTCAGGTCAGTATCGTTCAATGAATTGTCCTTAACTAATGTTCACTCTTCATTAAGAAGTAATTGAACACTCCAATGCAGCAAGCATTGTGCTATAGGAACTGAAGCAGCTGCTAGCCTCTGTCCTGGAGCAGTTCTCACAGTAGGGGGAAGACTGACAGTAAGAAAGCATGGCTGATGGAAGTAAGGAACCAAAAAAAACCAAAAAGCAAACAAACAAAAAAAGATAAGGTTCTTGTCAAGAGGAGCTTTTCTAACTAACTGGGGGTAGGACTGGGGACAGAGAATAAACTGCTGTCAGAATATCTACAATAGTGGGGAAGTAGGGAGGAATCAAAGGCTACAAAATCTGTTAGACTGGAGGAGCAAGTGTGAGAGATCTACTGTACAAATAGTGTCCATAGTTCATTATTTGTGGCATACTTGAAAACAGTAAATGTTAAGGTTCTCACCCAAAAAAAAAGCATACGAAGAAATGTTAATTAGCTCAGCTTACCCAGTCTATAAACATATGCATTTTTGAAAACATGTTATATATCACAAATATATGCCGTTTTCATCAATTAAATTTAAAATAAAAAAATAGACATTTGCATTAGTCCCTTTTCACCCCTGTCTTACAGTGTCTGAGAAACACAGGAAACGGCTTGTCTGGGCTCAAAGTTTATGTCCATGATGATTTATTGCCCTGGCTTTTGGGTCCATACTCACAGATGTGGGAACGTGTATTAGAGGAAAGCAGCTCACATCATGCAGGACAGAAGGCGGAGCAAGAGAGATGGTGACCAGCCTGGAAAGAAGGGATTCCCTTCAAAGACACATGCCCAGTGGCTTCTTCCAAACAGGCCCTACCTCCTAATAACCCATTCAATGTAATGTCCATTCTATGCATTAATCCACTGATGAAGCTGACCTTGTCTCGGGGTTGGGATCTGAGAGGGACACTGAGGCAGATTGTTCTTTTGGGTAAGAGATTTATCAAAGAGCTACTAATGCTGCGGACAGACAGACAACACTATGGCAGGGTCTCTGAGATGTCAGGCTCCCAGCCACAGATAGGCAGACAGCGTGGCAGGAGCTGTTGGGGCTCCTGAGGCAGAGTGGGGTCTTTTCTCCTAGGTCTCTGAGGAAGAGGGAATTGTCACAGTACTTCTGGCAATTAGACTGCCTTTGATTCTCTGGTGGCTGGGAAGGGAGGGATCCTGCATTCCAGGGAGGGAATGAGTGACTGTGTCCATGTAGGGGAAGTCATGTCCATGAAGGCACATTTAGTTAAGGTATACCCCTATACCAGTAGCCCTCTGATGTCTGACAGTCTGAGCCTTTAAACTTCCTCCAGGAAGTGGGAATCGAATTAGGATATTGCTTTTGTCCTGGAATCAGGGCACCTGGGGAGCCTGTTAGGGAGTTAGAGATTCACAGACAAGCTTTAGATAAGAAGTTTCCCATTCCCTTTAAAAGTTGGGTAAGAAAAGAGTTTAGGGCAGGTAGGTGTGGCCTGATTAGCCCTTAGCTCAAAACCTAACAACTCCAATCATCTCTTAACTGTCCCCAACTATCTGGGGACCAAATCTTTACCACATGACCCTTTGGGGGAACACTTCATATTTTAAACACAACAGACATAAACCGTTGTCTGAATTTGAATGACAAGTACACAGAGAATAGAAGTCTGAATTTATTAGAACAAAAATGAGAAATTACCCCAGTATAAGATGTATAGGATGTAAGTCATTCATCACACTTTTGTTTAGACATTTCTTAGTGGCCCTATGTCAAGCTGAATAAAGCATGTTTAGCTAAATAAAGCATGTTCCATGAGAAATTTTATTCTGGAGAGAGGAAGTAGGTAAAATTGGAACTTTGAAATTTTTTGATGAAGCTATGCTATGTTCAAGACTGAATTTCAAAACAGCAAGCCAACTGTCCTTAAAAGAGATTTGCAAAATTACATTTTTTCCTCATCAATTTCCCAATCAAATTTGTTTCATTTGCATGAAAAATATCAGCTATTACTTTAGCTCATGCTAATATGTGAATGTCTGAATAGGTCTGAGTAATGTATGACCTGAACCTTCTATCTGCGAACTTATTTCTCATTGAAATTTAATTCCATGACTGCTTCAAACAGCTTTTGTGTCTGGCATGGTGGTGTGGCCTATGGTCACAGCTGTTTGGGGAGCCAAGGAAAGGAGATTATTTGAACCCAGAAGTTAACACTAGCTTGGGAAAGGCAGAGAGATAAGAAAAACCCAAAACAATGCCTAGCTAGGAGCTTTCTTAGGTGGTGTGAGACTCTAGGTCTCATCTCCTGCAGCAGGAATGTGATAAGAGAGTTGAAACAAAAGAAGCTACGTGGAGATTAGCACGTGAAAGAAAATTTTCTGGGGGAAGACTGGAACACCTTTTTTAGCCTGACATCACCTGTGAATAGAATTTATGTGAAACAAAGCCCCAAAATACAAACAAGAGGGAGCTGGCAGCAAAAGACAGCTGGCTAGATGCTTTTCCTCTGGCTCACTAGCCCATCCTGATTCAGAAACCCACCTTTGGTCCACACCTAACTTTGGAAGGCGGGATTTTTTCCCCATCTGCTCCTGGTGGCTACAAGGATTTGCAGCTAACCAGTGCTTTTCCCTTTAACACCACTAAAATTCTCCTTGAGCTCCCTTTGAGCCAATTTCTAAATTCTTTTATTAATGAGACTAAGAATCCCAAAGGGAACCCGATTTCCCCTGGTAATAACAACAAAAGCAATACCCAGTATTTTTCCATGCTTTGTGTTTCCAATCTTAGCTACTTTGCTAATGTTAGGCAGTGGTGTGTTTGGAACTTTATCTGGGGTAAATATTTTATTTTCTTCTCCGAGCTTTTTGTTGTTTTGTAAAGTATTGAGCTATGTACCTGGTCCTATCATCATGTTCTTTATTATTTACTCTCTTGATGATTTCATCTGATCTTACGGCTTCAGATACTATCTAAACACACTCAACTTATAAACTACAAATATACCTGTAGTCTGGAGTTCTACCCAACCTGCAAATCATATACTCACTTGACAGCCCAGCATCTTCAGTAGAAATTCTAACAAGCATTAAAAATTTAATGTGAAAATTATGATTTTGTCTAGTTCCTATTTGTTCAGGTGTTCTTTCACATGAACATAAAATCCATTATGAGATTTTCTTATATCTACCTTCAGAAGATACTCAGTGCAATGGTCTATCCTGTCTCTCCAAGAGACAAGCCACGTCCACTCCCTCCCCTGTCTGCTGAGGCAAGCTGATCTTCAGCTTCCAGCTTGAGTTCCTTCCTTTTCCATCTCCCTCTTGAAGAAGCAGCTTCCATTCCCCCCTCTCCCCCCCCCCTCTCTGCCTCTCTGCTCTTTCCCCCTTCTCGCTTCCCCTTCCATAACCCACTAAATAAATATCCAACCTCA